GTGCTGCCTGGCGTGGGGCTGCTGCCTTGCGCCGTCCGTCTAATAAAGGAAGCAATGAGTTGTTCAGTTTTAGGCTATGTGAGCATGGTGAATACAGCTGTGAGATCCAGGCTTCTCTCTTCCCATTTATCTCATAAGGAACAGAAGGTTTGCCTCTGTGTAGAGGCTGAGTGTTATGAGCACACTGCTCTGCTTTCTTTCATAAGAAAATGGCAAAGTGCTCCCGGGTTCTTTGTCTGCCCAGCACAGCAGTCCTTAGGGCCGCTGAAGCCCAGCCTGGCTGCAGGCAGATGCACAGAAATGAAAGGTTTGGACCTGTGCCTGGTGCTGGGGCTCAGTTTGGCTGCAGCAGCACTTGGAACGTTGAGATGTTGGATTTCCTCTGTGCAGGGCGGCCACAGGGCTGCACTGGGGGCCATCCCATACCGACGGCCGCAGCAGAGGCCGGCCCTGGTCCCAGCTGAGCTCTCGGAGGAGGAAGCCATGAGGATCGCCAGGATCTTCTCTGCTCGGCTCTGCGAGAAGGAATAGCGTGGATGAGAGCGTGGATGGAGATCTCATGGCACAGCTGATTCCTGGCACGTCACAAGCACCGTGTCCTCAGGGAGAGGAGGTGAGAGCAGCAGGGTTCGCCCTCTGGTCCTTAATTGTCCTAATTGGGGTTTACTTGGAGGGAGCAGAAGCGTGGTGGCCCACCAAGGGCAGCTGCAGGCGGAGATCTCAGGTGACGCTCAGCTCCCTGCTGCCCAATCCATTGACCGACTTGTTCTTCAGTTCTCCACCCACTGAGATCCATTCTCATGCAATTTCTCTCCTGTTTATACAACAACTTTGGTCAAACATCCCATTTTGGGGCATCTCCTTGACCCAAAGGATGGAGAACACGAACAAATTGCCATCCTGAGGGACAGCACAGAGCTGCTGCATCACCGCCCGTGCGAGGGGGTGGGAGAGGAGCTCCCTCCCCTCCTCGTGGCCTTTAAGAATCACTGTACATCCAGACCACGGATGCCATACAGCCGAGTGTACAAAAGGGTTCGCATAGAAATACTGAACTTTTATATTATAAATTATATTGTAAATTATTTCTGTACATTTCTACGCCGGATCCCCGTGCTGCAAGTTGTGTCCGCGCTGCTGTGGCAGTGCAGTTTGTGTTTCAATAAAGTGATGCCCATTTTTGGCTTTGTGTGCCTGCACTGCCAGCTGCATCCACGGGATCGAATACCTCCAAGCAGTGCAGGTGAAGCAGAGCAGGGTGAGGGGGTCCTGCTGGTGTCCCCAAAGGTGGGGATGGAGCCGCCCAGGGGGTTCCGTGGCTGTGAGTTTTAAGAAAGCAGAAAAAGGGCTTTTGTTGAGTTCTCACCCCATCCTGGAGCTGCTTCCCATCCCCGCAGCCTTTGTGCATCGCTGTCTGCCAAATGGGGCGGTGGTTTTGTTGCCTGTGCCCCGTGGATGTGAACTCAGGGTTCCTCCATGTGAGCGCAGGGGACGCGCGGTGGCGGCTGCGGTGCAGGAAATCCCTGTGTGGTAAACAAACCTGGCAGCTGTGTGGGATTAATGACAGCCTCGTGCTGGGGACAGAGGGTCTGTCCCCAGGCTCCTAATCAGACCAGATTGTATTTTCCAGTGCTGCTCCCTCAAAGCTCTGGCGCGGGGACTGAAATGCCGTCACCCCTTGGAGCTGCCAGGCGGCCCCGCTCTCAGCAGCTCAAATGCCAAGTGGGGGACGGGGCTGTGCTGTCACCCGATCCCCGCAGCGCCTGGAACGTCCTCTGGGTGCTATAAATTGGGTGCAGAGAGCTGGCGCTCGGGGCTGCACGTGGGTGGAAGGAGTGAGACGGGGACACGGAGCCCACGGTAAGGACCTGTGGGACACCAGGACTCAGCGGGCTGCACCAGGCTGCTCCGGATCTCGGTTTCCCTAAGGATGCAGAGAAACAGAGCGGGATTTGATTCTGTACTTGTCTGAAGCCAACCAGAGCCGTGGCAGTGAACTGCCATCTCCATCCGTGAGCCAGGAGCCCCGCAGGACGCGGCGTCCCATTGCCAAACCTTTGCGTTCCCTGCCAGCCGTCATGGTGGGCCTGAAGCCCCCCGAGGTTCCCCCCACGGCCGCCGTGAAGTTCTTCAGCGCCGGGACGGCCGCCTGCATCGCCGACCTCTGCACCTTCCCCCTGGACACCGCCAAAGTGCGGCTGCAGGTAAAAGCCCCGAGAACCCCGTGGGCAGATGGAGCTCCCACGGTGCCGGGAGCCACTGCAGCGATGCCACCGAGCAGGGACAGCGGGGACACAGAGGGTGAGGTGACGTGTGGGCACCCCACAGATCCAGGGCGAGGTGAGGATCCCACGCAGCACCAACACGGTGGAGTACCGGGGTGTGCTGGGCACGCTGAGCACCATGGTGCGGACCGAGGGACCCCGCAGCCTCTACAGCGGGCTGGTGGCCGGGCTGCAGCGGCAGATGAGCTTCGCCTCCATCCGCATCGGGCTCTACGACTCTGTGAAGCAGCTCTACACCCCAAAAGGGGCTGAGAGTGAGTGCAGTGGGGGCTGGGACCTCACCCCTGTTGTGCATCCCAACCTGGTGTGCAACGGCCCCAGTAGACACCAGGCCAACCCACCCCAACGGGGGACCAACCACCTCAATGGGGGACCAACCCACCCCGATGGGCAACCAACCATCTCAACGGGAACCAACCTACCCCAGTGGGGGACCAACTCATCCCAGTAGGGATCAACCCATCCCAATGGGGGACCGACCCACCACAATGGAGGACCAATTCATCCCAGTAGGGATAACCCACCCCTAACCTTCCCCAATAGGGGACCAGCTCATCCCAGCAGGGATAACCCATTCCAAAGAGGGACCAACCCACCCCAATGGGGGACCAACTCATCCCAGCAAGGACCAACTACCTCAGTGGCAACCAACACACCCAAAGCGTACAGAACCCAGCCCTAGCTGCACAGCCCTCCCCAAAATGCACCCCCAAACCCCAGAGTCACCCCTCTCCCTGCTTGTGGCACGGGATGGGGTCCCAACACGTGCCTTCCCCAAGGCACAGGGCTGCTGGTGCGGCTGCTGGCGGGCTGCACCACAGGGGCCGTGGCAGTGACGTGCGCCCAGCCCACCGACGTGGTCAAGGTGAGGTTCCAGGCTCTCGGGGCACTGCCAGAGAGCAACCGTCGGTACAGCAGCACCGTGGATGCCTACAGGACCATCGCCAGGGAGGAGGGAGTGCGTGGGCTGTGGAGAGGTAGGGGATGGGATGGGATGGGATGGGATGGGATGGGATGGGATGGGATGG